ATGGCGCTGGACTGCATCTTTTGGTTGTTGTTCGCAGAATATTGTCAGTATTGGAGTGTGATTAAAGGGGTGGATTTTTTTTTATAGCTATTTGTAAAACAATGGAAAGTTGCAAACGAATTCTTCTTCTTAATTGAATGCCTTTCTGCTATTGCAACAGATAGAAGCACCAATCTGATGGGATATGCTGTCAGAGGAATGGGGTCCTTGTGGCTTTCCTTCAGCTTCCATGGGGCTTCCGTTTTGCTTTCATGTGGCTTTCTTTTTGCTTTCGTGTGGCTTACGTGTGCCTTTCGTACGGGTGCCTTTTGTGTGGCTCTTGTGTGGTAATCGTTGGGCATGCATGACCTTTCTCTCCTGAATACAATTGCCCAGTTGTTGTGTGTGTGCGATTGGGACAGACGTGGCTTTTGTATGCGTCCATGATGGTGTGGTGTTGGAAGACTGGAACACATAACACCTCAAAGCTTCCTTTTTTTTTCTTTTTTTTCAACAATTGCGGAGAGAAGTGGCCCCCCGGCATCATGAGTGGATTGCATCGGGGAAAAGGGTATACCGCAAAGCGGCAATGTGTTTAAATACTCCCCGGGCACCAATAGACTGGAGCACCCAGAACTCTTGCAAGGAGGGAGTGCTCGTACCACCTCTCCAAGCAAAGACACTGGTTCTTTTTTTTTTTTTTAAGAGAAAAAAGAAGAAAGATTTGAGGTCTTAGACTAGGCTACCAGAGTGGCCCGGGGTCACTTGCCCGGCCGGGCCAAAAAAAAAAAAAAAAAAAAAAATCAAAAATTATTTTTTATTCTAAATGTGGTAACGAATTTCGATGTGACGCTGAGGCAAACGTTGTTCAGTTTATTTTTTTGCATAACATAGTTTTTTTTTTCGGATTTTTTGGATTTTTTCCCTTTTTTTTTTTTTTTTTTTGCTGGGACCTTCCCTTGTCCTTGCACGGGCTGGCCACCTGGGACCCGGGCGGCCCGGCTGGTATCCTAGGTCTTAGAGTGCATGTGCAGATATGCAACCAAAGAAAAAGTCTTTGTTGGGTAAGATGTTTTGAAGTTCTTCTTTTTCTTCCTCTTCTTCTTCTTGTTCTCCTCCTCCCTTCTTCTTGTGCTTCTTCTTTTTTTTTTTTTTTGGACCATTTCTCTCTTCTTCTTGTTCTTGTTCTTCTTCTTTTTTTTTTATTGTTCTTTTGGGACCATTTCTTGATTTATGTGTGTCATCCTTGTGCAGGGGCCATATGCTAATCTCCTCTGTATCGTTCCAATTTTGAAGTCTTTTAAACCACCAGTACATGCAATATATGGGCCGTGGACCCTCTCGGACGCTGAAACACGACAAAGGGTGCTGATAAGAAAGGCCTCGACTTTTTTGGACTAGGCGACTAGTTTCTTTTCAGCAAGGCTAGGGCTGTGTACTGGTGGGATAAACCACCCATCACTACATCCGGCCTTTGTACGAGAGGCGGATATCCCCGCCCTGTGCGCCAAGCTTTGCCGAAACACCAGTGCGGCATTTTGTTTCAGTTTTGCCTGGTGTTGCCAGCCATTTTGCTCCGGTTGCGCCGAGGCTCTGGAATGTTAGGAGAGGCTCAATCGCGATTCTCAAGTTGTCTCCGGCCATGTACGACCGGTGGTTTAAAATAGCACTATCTCCGCGCCTCATTTGCCCAATGCTTCATTTTTTAATTTAATTTAATTTAATTTAATTCGGCACAATGCTTCATTATGCCCGGCCCTGAGACTAACGGAAGTTTTCTACGGAGCTTCTCTTTATTAAAGAAAACAATTTAGATTATGTAAACCTATTTTTGTGCTTTTGAGAATATAGCAAGCATCGAAAAAAAAATATTTGTGTTATTCTTGACTTTTTTTATTGGCTATATCAATCATTAAATATACATCAATCTAGCGGTGTCTGCCATATGCGTCGTGTTCGTGCCAGAAATTTTGTGATGGGCAAAAGATTTTTGCTTCTTGTTTAACAAATATTTTGTTGTTCATCCCTCGTAGAGCGTAATGTACCGAACATCCACTGGCACGGGTTTTCTCAGATCTTTGTATTAACTGAGATCAGCATGAAAAATATCTAGAGTTGGAAAACTCAAAATTATTTTGCTCGTTCCGGGGGACTGCCTGCCTCCAGAAGACTCGGCCTTTCAGCTGCACCGGGTCAACGGCAGCTGCACATGCATCGCTGGTCGGGGCACTGGTTTTTTAGTTTCGTGGATCTGAGCCAAAGTCCAAATGTTTTCCATCACGGGCCCGGTACTTCAAATGTTCTGCATGTCTTCATAATGTTCTGTTTATCTTCATATGGGATGCTGGGCGCGGCTCCCAGCACGTGCTGCTCCCCACAAATAGACTGGAGCTTTTTGTAAAAGACAAAAAAAAACTGGCAACGTCTGCGTGAATTGGCTGCTTTACTGGGGGAAATTGCTCTGAACTGCACTGAAGAGAAAGGTTGCATGCATTGGGAAACAAGGAGAACAGATGGTGGAAGCGCAAGGGAGCATGGAAAGGCCAGTTGTTTGTTTGTTTTTGCATGCAACCTCGCATGTGTCTCCTTGTGCATGCAGTCCTCCGTCTGCGTGTGTGTGTGCATGTATGGGTGGGTGTGAGGGTGTGGGTGGGGGGTGGGGCTGGCCTGGAAACATCCTGGGGACGATGGGCGTATGTTTTTTTTTTCGTTTTTTTGTCTTTTTTTGGGCGGTGGGGCTGCCTGGAACGCTGCCCGGGGCTCATGCCCGGCCGCACACCCGGGCTTGTATCGGGGCAAAGCTGGGTGCCTGGGCATCCGGACAAACAGCTAGCACATATCTAGGAACTAAAGAGCGCACTTCGCGAAACAAACAATTAAAACACATAAGACAAACATGAAGAGCACACTGAAAAGTTGTGAAAACATTATTTTTTATTGTTCTTCTTTTATCTCATCTCCATATATTTAATAGCAAAAATATTGCTCCTTCCAAGTTTGGCAGCAAATTCCTTTGCAAAAATAGAGGTTTTGTTGCAGCTTTATCGGGTTCCCATAGTTTGCCAGCAAAAATAAAATACAGCGTTTTTGCCAAGTTTCACAGCGAAGGACCCCCAGGCCTCTGGCCTCAGGGACTCAGAGACTCAGCGTTCTGGCCTCAGGCACTCAGCGTTGTGTTTTTTCTTTTTTTTCTGGGCGTGCCGACGGCCGAGATGCCTCGGCCACGGCCGCCAAAAAAAAAAAAAAAAAAAAGAAACAAGAAAAAAAAAAACAAAAAAAAAACGCTGAGTTCCTGAGCACCTGAGGCCAGAGGCCTAGGGGTCCTTCGCTATGAAACTTGGCAAAAACGCTGTATTTTATTTTTGCTGGCAAACTACCGGAAGCCGATAAAGCTGCGACGAAACCTCTATTTTTGCAAAGGAAACTTCGAACGGACGACATTTTTGCTGCCAAACTTCGAAACAGCAATATTTTTGAAATTAACCCCCATATATATCGTCATATATATCGTCACAAACAGAACTGCCCGGTAAACCGTAGGCACAGAGAGAGAAGAGGACAACAAACGAGGGGCTGTGACAAACTGTTTCGTCGGAGTTTCACCGACTCATCAGTAGGTATATATCACAGCTCACCGTCCTTGTCCTTTTCTACCTTTCTGCCTACAGTTCACCAGGTTATTCACACTATGATTGATGAGTCGCAGAAACTCCGGCAGAATCAGTCTCTGCCCAGCCCCCTCGTTTCTTATCCTTGGCCCTATTTTTCAACGGGCAGTTCTCTATATGCCGACATATACACGGCACAGTTGAATGCGCATTTTTTTTTTTTGTTAGCCCCCTGCTGAGTTTTCGCTTCCAGCACTGAGTCACAATGATGGTTGGAGCAGTCACACGCTGTGCCTCCAGTGTCAGCCGTGCATCAGGCGTAAAACGTGGCTGCGACAGGACCACCTTTTTTTCGTGGGCGTTTCTTGCTTTATGGTGAAGGCTTAACCGACAGTCGGTTGAGGGCATGCTCACACTTGCATTATGGTAAAGGCTTAATCGCAAAATCACCGGCCAGAGGTCCTAAAAGGACGACTCTATCTGGGCGCCGATTTTGCAATTCTGCGATTATAAGGGCGTACCGTCTTCCCCGAATAACCTCCCAGGTAATTATAGCTGCATCTGGACTGAAAGTTGTGCCAAATGCAGCTATAATGACCAGGCGTTCTGTTCGGGTGAAGACGGTAGTGTGAGTTTACAACTTTTTCAGCTCGATGCGGGCGAGTGAGTCTTTTTTTTTCCTTCTTTTCGATACAAATCTCCGCAAGGGAAATGGTTGGCGCCCACTGGCCATCATCAGTTGAGGGCATATCACACTCTTTCCGGCTCAGCTCTGGACGTGATTGCAGTCACATGCATCCGGATCTGGCCATAATTGCAGTCAGATACCTTTAGAAAAGTGCTAGTCTGAGTGTGCCCTCAACCAGGGCGCCAGATCACACAGCAATACTACAACGCATCTAGGCCCGCCAATTACAAAAACACACACTAGTGACAATTTTTGAATATGGAGCTGCCAGACTGATGAACACTCCCAACACCGTTTCGGTCCCAGTTGGTGCCCACCAGTTGGGCATACCAGGTGATCCCAGGCATACCAAGTGGTCCCAGCAATCGGCCCCGGACGATGGATCCATCTACTCCTAGCATGCATCCGATTCCGCCTTCATGACATCCACTTTTGCCAGTAGCTGCGCCTCCCTTTTCATCGTACGCCACTCCCCATCGAATAACAACAATGTCTAAGGCCAATCTCCCACGCACCACACACACAACCCATTCGCACTCTGTGTTGGCCAAAGACCCCACGAGGGCCACTATTACCTATCAGAGGTATCAAGTAGCCTATCACAACAGCTGGTTGGCTGCATGCAAGCCAAAGAAAAAAAGAAAAAAAAGAAAGGACAGGATTGCCAAAAAAATGAAAAAAAAAGGACAGGATTCCAAAAAAAAAAAAAGAAAGGACAGGAAAAATTACATGTGCACAATACTCAACTCCCCGGAAAGGACAAGGAGCCAAGCCGACGATGAAATGCTCTCTTAAAACAATCAAACGAAATGTTCTACAAATTCTAATTCTATTAAAACAAAAAGAACGAGACCGATTGGACATCCAAGCTGGTCACCGTGCGAGTATATGATTGTTTGAAAGACTGGCATGAAAAGAGAAAAACAAAAAAATCGAAAAACAATTCGACCACCACAAATTTGGCACTTTGCAATTTTCTCCCTCAACTTCCCAGTCCTGACACTTCTGTACAATACATGCTTTCTACCGGAACGTACTGATATCGTATTATCGTGTACATTTCCTGAACCTATGTCTATGTTCATACTCAGCGATCAACTGACAAAGACAACTCGGACTTGGAAGACCGACTTCGACAGAGCCTGCGCTGCGCCTCACAAGCAAGCACTACTAACCTTCAATGGGGGATGGATACATTGTCAAACTGGGTCCCAAATTACTCTGGACACTTTGTCCCAAATTGGTCCCCAAATTGGTCCCCAAATTGGTCCCCAAATTGGTCC